CAAGCGGTCTCTATTATTTTTACCCATCTTCCTCTCTGAATACAGAAATGTGAAGATTCATGAAAGACTCTTGTTACCAAAACTGCATTTTCATGTGCCAATTATTTCAGCATTCTCGGATGGAAACTATCTATGCCCCCTGAGTTCAGTTCCTCTATCGCTGGAAATGATCTCTTTAATACAAAGCTAAACCTCCTCAATTTCTTTTACCCTCTCTTTCCTTGCTAAGCAATTTGTAACTAGCAATTTTTTATGTTCCAGTTGTGAATAAACCCACCAGGTTTCAGTTACATCAATTACATTACATTTTTCATAATGCAATAAGATTTCCCAATTCCTCTTGCTTGTTAATTATTTATTCCACAGGTGCTTCTGCCCTGTCCCTCTCCCTGGACAGCTGCCTATGGTGAGTCACATGTTCTTATTATCACGTTGTTGGAGGGAGAAGGGTGAAGCAGTGCTGTTTCTATACTTCCTACTGCAAAAATATATGTATAGTAATATAATGAACCTTTTGTCTTCATATGCTAGAGATTTATTCAATACTGCAGGATGCACCTCTCTAGCTCTCTGGCTCCTTCTGCAGATGTGCTTTTAGAGCTTATATTTGTGGTCCTTTGGTGCATCTTTGCATATCAGGTAAGTTCTACTCTCCCATGCTCCAGCCCTGGAGATGTTCAAGGCTAGGATGGATGGGGTCCCAGACAGCCTGATCTCATGTCTTATAGACATAAGCAACCCTATTCATGGCAGTGGGGTTAAAATTAGGTGATCCCAAGCCATTCAATGATTTACTCCTTGAAGAGTGCTAATGAATACGTGGTGGCACAGAGAATATAGAGATACCTTGCTTTCAAAATAGAATTCCAATAATGCAAAACGAGCCTAGATGTACAGTTTTCTTATTTCTCTGGCTTTTGTGGACAGTGGTGAGCAACACGAAAAAGCTCTTTTTTTTTTTTTATTGGAAGGGGCAGTACTCTTAAAGTGCATCTATACAAGAGCTGCTTTTCTCTCTGAAATGCAGATCTGATTACCAATACTGCCTGCTCATTAGCCACTTAAACAAGACCCGAGTTATGGTTTGTTTCTATTAAAATCAAATAAATGCTTTAATGTGCAAAAATGGCTGAGATTTTATCACTGCCCAGTTCTGCAAAAGACAAGGTAGGCTGCCTTACCTACTTCATGTGTTGATTGTTTTTTTAATATTATATTCTTGAGTCAGAAAATCCACCGATCAGTTTACTGCTGGATCTTTTCCATCCGTGATGCTGTTAGCATATCACTAGTTAAGTATCTTGTGATATATCCAGCAGTGGACCAAACACAGACTTAGCAGGTATGAAATAAGATATGCATGCAAGGTCATACTCAAAAAGAGACAAAATGATAGGCAGCTCTGCTCTGAGTCACCTGGCTATAGCCAAGAAATTCACAACCTGGAACAAGGCAGCAAGCACTTTGTGCTGTGCCTAAGTGCAGAACAGGACTTGTGACCAGCATGAGCTACAGAGCTCATAAAGTACGCTTTAGATTCATGCTCTCTGGGAAGTGAGATGTATTGCTCTTATGGTTGGTACCTTCACCTGTTTGGTATCCAAAGCATTGAAACTACTCTGGAAAAGAGAGCCTCCATCCTCTTTCAAGCAGGTTGGAATTCAGCGTACCTTTGAGTCAGAAGCTGTGCTAACTAGTTACAGGATTCAACTACAGAAGGAATGTATATGCTCAAGTGCCTCTTTTCCCAGAGGGAATTCAAAATTTTATTTCTCAGATGCAAAATATTTTTCAGATTCTTTAGCAGACCTAGGCACGCTGGATAAAAATAAACTTCAGGTGCACCAAATATTTCAGAAATAATCACGACATTCAACATCTGTTAGAGATGTTAGTGAAATCTTGGAACAAGAGGAGGGCTCACTTTGCTGGTCTCCATACAGTGCATGGTGTGTCTTTGCACCCCTACACCTGAGATTTCAGCAGATGTTTCAAATAAGCAGTGGAAAGAAACTCAAAACATTTTTGTTTTGACAGCATCACGACAACACAGACAATTAACAATTACTGGCACTGCCGGTGAGATTCGTTCAGACATCTGCAGTGAGTGTTGAGGGAAAGGTCAGGAACTGTAGGAATGGGGCTCCCTGTTGTCTGTGGCCATATGTACTGGTCATACGTACTATATGCTGACTAGTGTAAAGTTATGGAGTGGTTACTGAAAGGACTCTGCCTAGATGATGGCTGTTGATGACATCAGGTATGGGCCAAAAGAAGACTGTTAAGCAAACGCTATGTTTATGAGAATGTCCTGTATGGGTTCTTTAGAACAGTGCTTTGTGTATGGAGTATGTGGTACTGAGACCCAGGGCAAGGGGTCTCCAAAACACTGGATAACATTGGTAGCAGCACAGTAGGTTTACAAGAACTGTTAGGAACAGCACTTTGGCTAACTGAAATGGCTGAATGCTGGTAATTGTGCATTCAGTATGCGGATTGTGTGAGAATCCTGGACATCTTGCCATTCAGAAAGACCCATGATTGGATGGAGAACTGAGTGGAGATGAACTTTCTGATGTTCAACACAGGCAAGTACAGAATCCTACACCTGGGGAGGAATAACCTCGTGCGTTAGTATAGGTTAGGGGCTGAGAAAGTTCTGCTGGAGAGGAGCTCTGCAGAGAAGGACTTGGGTTTACTGGTGGACAGCAGGTTGACCATGAGTCAACAGTGTGCTCTTGTGTCCAAGAAGGCCAATGATATCCTAGGGTGTGTTAAAAAGAGCGTGGCCAGCAGATCAAGGGAGGTGATCCTCCCCCTCTACTCTGCCCCGGTGAGGCCATATTGGAGCACTGTGTCCTAGGTTCTTCAGTTCAAGAAAGTCAGGGATCTTTCAGAGAGAGTCCAGCAGAGGACCTCAAAGATGATTAGGGGCTGATAAATTTCCTATACGGTCATTTTCAGTATTGTATTTGTTGAGCTTTAAGAAAAGTATGCGGTGCCTTTTAGGTACTGGTTTTGATGGATTTAATACTCTACTTTCTGTATGCTAAGTGGTATATTCTTGGCATTCTCCTGGCATCCTAGGGTGTTTATTAATGACATGGTGACCATATGACTTGCAATACTTAGATAATTGTGGTCAATAAATGTACTGTAAGCAGTGCAATCAGCCTATGAATTGCAGATGCATTGAGCAGAGGGGCTGCATGTATAAGCAATGACCACAGGCCAAGACCATGTGCTCACAAACCACTAAGTCTGGATGAAGACCTTTCATGTGTTGACACTCTCATGAGCCAAATTCCGATCTGTGTTCATTACACCATTCCTGTCCTTATCAGAAAATTTATTGTAAAACCCAAACAAAGCAACTGTCTGTCTGAGCCAGTATAACCTTATACCTGGTGGGATTCTAAAGGTTGGCTGCTCCTTATCTGCTAATTGAAAAGTTCTTTTCACCAAGTTAGTGTTCTAAGATAAAACACATATGATGAGGCTGCTATGGTGACATGCTGGAGAGGAGTAACAACCCTCTCTCCTGCTTTCACCACAACTTTCTAAAGCTGGCTTTCAGCCACCTCCTGAAAACACTACAGCATGGCTTTGTTTACTCAGCACAGAACTGATCACCATATTTCTCTTTGATAATTCAGGTTTCAGATTACAGCCACACAGTCACAAGTTATGCTAAACATAAAGCTTGGCTTGGAAAGCTTGCAATATCTGCAAGGAATCTTCAGGCACATTTATGCCAATCCCAAATAAGATGCTTATAGTGTTGGAGGGCCTTAAACTACTCACTTAGGCTGCTGTGGCCTGAGTTTATTTCCAAATCAATAAGAAAAGTATTCCTTTTTCTACTTCCCCCCCCTCTAATGTCAGGAGTGTTACTTTGGTGCATGGGGCCACTTGTTGTCATTCTGAAGGCTAGAGTTCATCAGCTTCTCTTTTCTTACATCAAATTGAGTTGTAATGACCAACTTGAAGCACCATCCCCCAAATTACCAGTGAGTGTGCACCCCACCTAGGGATGGACTATGAGCTGTTCACTAAGTTTGCCCCACTTTATAGCACATGCACACAGGGTAGTTAAACAAATTCTGTGAACTTCTCCCTACCAGGGGGGTGGTGTCCTAGGAGACACAACACATAGGATGATCAGCTGTCCTCCTCTGCCCACAGTGCTGAGCAGCCCTTGATTCACTCGTTGGCAATGGCAGGACAGCTCTTTCACATCCGAGTTGGGATGTGAGCTCTGTTTGACAACTCTGGAAGCAGGAGTGCCTTCCATCCATCCTCCGTTGTTTTATTTGTTGGTAAATTCCAGGGTACAGAAGGAAATGAATTCACTGATAAACTGAAGTGGTCTTCTCTAGTGGTCCTCAGTAAGTAAATGGCTGAGCAGGGAACAGAAATGAGCTTTCCTGTGCTCAGTTCTGCCCTTTAACTACCTTTTTTCTACTCCAGTATATACCATGTATAATCTGGCCACCAGAAAGCATTTGAGTGCTCATTTACTTAGAAAAGAGGAACTCTAGGCTACAGCCTGATAAAAATCGTGAGCGCTGCGCTTTTCCCGTCATTCACACCACTGCCCTTTGGGTTATTTAGGGGGCAATCGCAATCCGACAGGGTAAATGTCAGAATCTCCATAACAACTAACAGCCAGTGCCTTTTGTGCGCTGCATGGAGCAGCTCTGGGAGGCGAAGCGCCGAGCAGTGCCCAGCTGCAGTGCCCGCTGAGGGGTAGCACACACCGCTTAGCCGGGGTTCGGCTGCCTTCAGAGCACAGACCCTGCATCAGCCAGCAGGTAAACAAGCAAATTTCTGCTCTCCTTGGGAACAGGTTGTGTTTCAACGAACAACTGTTAAAATTCTGCCTCTCTCTGCAGGGCAAATCCGCGTTAGCTACAGCACAGAACAGCCTGTCTGTGTGTTCATTACGCTGAGCCAAACACAAAACAACACAAGCTGGAAGGAAGTTGTTTTACACTTACCAGCAGCATTGATATTTTCCTCACAGGAGTACCAGATCCCAGTGTGGAAATACCTGAAAAGGAAGCGGTCATCTCCCGTCTCCCAGCTGTAATGAACCACATTCTGGTTTGTCTCATTGGCAGTCTCATTCCCACTGTAGTTGAGGCAGTTTGTCTTCTTCTCTTTCCCACAGCTCGGCTTGGGGACCCTCTGCGTGCCCTCACACCAGTGGGTCGTGATAAAAGCTGTTGTAGAGAAGAGGAGAGCCATCAGATTCAGACTCACTGCTAGCAGGGCTCTGCATCTTCGATTTGTCTTCATGGTAAATCCGCCCTCCCTCCCCCTCCTGCTGAGAGAAGAAGTCAAAGGTTTTTGTTTTATTTGGGGGGCGGGGGTGGTGTTTCAAAGCCTCTCACGATTCAGAATCCAGTTTTCCAGGCACCAAAACTCTCAGCTTCTTCCAATCTGCTGTTGTAGCAGTGAAGGAAACGCTGCAGCCAGACTCCCATTCTTCTCTTCACTTGAAATCCTGCCTTTGTATGTTAAAGAAGCAGCTGCAGGCGCGGGAGTGCGGCCGTCCTCTTGCAGGCGGTGAGCGGATCAGAGAGGGTCTGTCTCACCAAGAGCACCAAGAGCAAGTCAACATCTGCTCGGGTACCACACATGATCCCCAGGGGCTCTGCAGCTTCCTCTGCTGGGAGACACCTGCAGGCTGCAGGACTCGCTGTTCTCTCCCAGCACGGAGAGACAGGGGAGGCTCGGCAGGAGCCGGGCGACGGGGACAGCTGCTGTGCCACCGCGCTCCTGAGCAGCCCTCGGAGGCGCCTGCATCATGCTGACGGCTGAGCGGGACTGGGGCAGAGTCACACCTTCCTCCCCAAAGGGATCAGTGTGGCTGCGAAATGCGTTGGTCTCGTACCAGCGGTCAGGGATGTGACCAGGAGAAGGAGGGATGGAATAATGCTTCAGCTTTTCTATTCTAAGCTCACGAGGAGCAAACCGAAGGGCTGGTTTTGCTATCGCTACAGCAGTGTAGTTCTCTGTCTGCAAGGGTTTGCTCTGGAGGTCGGCAAAGCCCCAGAGGAATTCAAATTTTAAGGTCTGTAATAAGTGGAACTGATGTCTGTCACAATACCTAGTGAAGTGGGTCTGTAGGGCACTGCTGGGTGGTGTGCTGCGAGGGATAGTGCTGACAGCCCGGTCTGTATGCGGAGCTGCTGTGTGTGCAGGGTACAGACCGTGTACCTGAGCACTGGCAATGTTTGTCACACAGTGGTTGTGTACTTCACAGACGAGCACAGTTTTCTGTGGTAAGTTGCATTTGCTTGCTGGGCTTTGGACTGAGTGACCGTTTATTCCTTCCACCCTGCAAGGACCCTGGGGCCACCCGCAGCCCCTCAGAGCGGTCTGAGCGGAGGGAGCAAAGCGAGCCCTGGAAACAGCCGCACAGGCTCACAGTAGCAGAGGGGCTTTCACCCTGTGCTCTGCTAAATCAACACGCTGGCCAACGTAAAAACTCACTCCATGCCTCACTGCCCACAGCCAGGGAATACGGCCGTACTTCTCCAGCTCCTCCAAGAAAGGAATTGCTGGTGGAGCTTCTCCTTGGTAAGCACCGCAGCAGAATGAAGGGCCCCAGCCCTGCCTCCCTCACAGGCAGCTGTGGGAATCCGTTGTGCTTCTTGCCAGTGTCCGGCCTACACGCCTGCTTCCAATTATCTGTGAGGTTTTCCACTATTTATACAGAGTCACTTGGCTATAGCCTTGTTCCTTTAAAAATAATTTAGGAAGTCCTTAAGAGATGCTGCTCTGTGAGAACAGTTACGGCATCAAATCTGCAAAGGTAATGCTTGGTAGAGCAGATAATTCCCTGCCTTCGCAGACTTCACTTTGCCCTTGCTTGCCATCTTGTCATCTACAACTGCCTCCTCAGCATCAGATTTTTTTTTCAGTGGCCTGTGGTGGGGGAATGCTCCTGTGCAGCAATAATTTTGGGCCCTTGACTGCAAGAAAGACATTGAGGCCCTGGAGTGTGTCCACAGACAGGCAATGGAGCTGTGAGGGGCCTGAAGCACGAATGTGATGGGGAGAAGCTGAGGGAATGGGAGTGTTCAGTCTGCAGGGGGCTCAGCAGAGACCTTATTGCTCCCTGCAACTCCTGAAAGGAGGCTGTGGTGAGGTGGGGGTTGGTCTGTGCTCCTGGGTCACTGGTAGGGTGAGAGGTGATAGCCTTAAGTTGTGCCCAGGGTGGTGGTGGAGTCATCGTCCCCGGAGGTGTTCAAGAAGAGGATAAGTGTGTGGCACTGAGGGACGTGGTGGGCTGGGGTTGGTCTTAGTGGTCTTTTCCAACCTTATCTTTATTCTTGTTTTTGGGCTGACAGGTGTGTTGAGAACAAACATAGCAGCAACATGAAGAAAAAAGGAAAGCAAAATAAAGAAGAGGTTTGGTTTCTTTTGTGATCTGTGATAGAGAGCTTTTAAAGCCTTGAGAATTTAAAGTATTCAGCACAAAGTAAAGCATGCTCAAAGTCAGGGCTTCTAGCATGATTTTTCTTTTTCCTAACAGAAGTCAGAAGTCAGTTTCTCACTAATTGTTAGACTCCACTGGATGTTAGGATCCCCTAAAAAAGGGGAAAACAATCTCTGCTATACTCGTGTGGTAAAGCTCAAATGATTCCTCTTTATATAATCTCTGTTTATCAGATCTGGTGTGTATAAAAATGGAAAGGTCATACATATGTTACAGAAAGCAGTTCAGATGCCTGGATTAAATTGTATTTATGTGGTATTATCTTGCATAGTAAAGCAGAAGGGTTTGAATGCTATGGAGAAGTAGTTTTCATATTGTGGCTACAAGAACTTTAAAAATCCTTTTTGCAGCAATAGCTCTTATCAGATGTAAAAAAACTACCTTTGTGAGTTATGGATATCCTCCTTTTGCTTTACTATTTCCTACAGAATCAGTGCAAATTATTATTGCTTAGTATTTTCTTGAGCACAAAAAAGAATTTTGCAGAGAAAATTTAAATTAATTATAGTGTTTTCAAAGGAAATCTTTCAGTGAGGGTATGTTTTTCACTAGCTGAAAGCAAAAGAAACGTTCAATAAAATGAGAGGACTTTTGGGTGCCCTAATGAAGGGGGCAGGCTTGATGTGCTTAGTTTAGTTGTTTAGTTGACCAGCAGTGTCAGCTGCATGGGATTATATGCAGTTTTTAAATCAAAAGTTAAAAAAAGCTATAGCTTTTCATCAAATTCTCATTTCTTACAAGCCCGTCCTTCTGAGCTTTCCCATGTGTTTGTAAATGTCTTTTTCAGCAGTCACTGGACTGGGCTTCTCAGTTCCTCTTTCCACCCTGGGATGGAGCCCAGTTAGTGCCTGATCTCCTTTCCTCTGGGTCAAATTCTCCTTTTCTTCCTTTAGCACATGCAGCAGCATAACTCATCTTTTTCCTGCTCTTTTGATGTGGCAAAAAGTGTAATCTTAATCTTCAGTTTGACTTTTGACTTTTCACTTAGGATGTGTCTCTCATGCACTTTGGGGCACTGAGTCAAGCCCAGTAAGGCTGCTCAGGAACTTTATGATGATAAAACTGATCTGACCAGGTAAAAATCATTTCTGACAGTACTGTAGCAAAGACTTTCAGTAGTCTCAACAGAACGGACTCATAAAAAAACAAACAGCATAATCAACAGGTTTGCTTTTAATTGCTTTCCAACTGCGATTACCTTGATCCAGTGTCACTGGTTGGCAGACAAGACATACCTAAGTACCATTTTCAGAGTAGCCAGTCTGGATGTTTTAACCAGCTTTGACTGTAGCTCATCCTTTCTTGGATACCAGGTGCCACTCTAAGACTGGATCTAAAGGCACTCTTTCTCCTGAAAAAATGGAGTCCTCTGTGAGAAGAGGACCGTTATCATATGGAATGTCTTGGCACCGTTTTCCCCAGAGATCTCCTTCAGGTCAGAGAGTAGATGATACTTCCTATCCTCTTTCATTGGAGGATGATGTGTTTGCATGGCAGCACATCCACTTTGCCATTTCATAATGTGCTTCTGCTTGTGTTTCAGGCTTAGAAGAGGTAGACTATGCACAAAGACATCAGCACACAATGACATAGCAATGCAAATCATGCTGCATTTGGTTGAACAGGACAGGTTTACCAGCATCTGTCCCAAAGCCAGGGCAGCCAGACACCACGTAGGAGCATGCTGGGAAATAGGAGGGCTGAAGCTTCTGTATTCCCCAGAGCAAGCAGCTTTCACATTACTGAGCAGTTTGGCAGAAAACAGGCTGGGCAGCCTCAGGTTGTGGTTTTGCAGGTGGCACAAGCAGAGCTACAACAGAGTAGTGTCAATGCAGCTGTAGTGATTATCTGTTCCAAGTGCTTTTGTTATGGCATAGAGTAGAGCTGAAAGTTGATGCCAACAGTTGCTTCATAAAAAGGGACTGGACGTGGCTGGGTTTGGGTTGGAGCTGTGACCAGGGTGAAATCCTCCAAAACAGTCCAGTGCAAAGATGCACTCCTGCTCTATATCACACCGAGTAATTTTATATCCCTCCATTTCTTGTGTTGCACCTTTTGTTAAATTACTTTATAGATATTCTGATCTCATACTTTCTGGGTAAGAAGGAAGCCTTTCTTCATTCTCAGAAGAAATATTTCCAACATAAAGCATGCTTGCTTCCCAGCTACATCTTTCATTCTTTAACGTGCTGCAAGAGACTTTGGTATCCATTTCTGACCCTGAATTATAAATTCTTCTGTGTTTGAATTACAAGTATTGTTTCCTCACAACCAGGATGCTGGCAGTTAAGTTGGGTAAGATAAACATTTCACTAATTTTTGTAACTTTTCCAATGCAAACTTTGCTCAGACATGTTTAAATTATTACAAGAAGTTACAGTTCACTTAAGTGGGACTCTTAAAGCAGAATTCATGTTCTTCACTGCTAAAATTAAAGAAGCATTCTTGCACATCCAGGCCTTATTGGCAGGTTTTAAGCCTTACAATACTCACAGACTCCTTGGCCTCACAAAACAGTTGCCCCAAAACAAAAGGTCTCACAACAAATGTAGCAATGCTGACAAACTTGGTCAAAGGGCCACTGCACAGATATGCTCTTTCAAAACCTAGACATCTGATTTCCAAATTCATAAAAAGTTCATACTCCCTGTGTCTTTGGAAGTGCCTAAAGCACTAAGTACCATAGAATCATAGAATGGCTTAGGTTGGAGGGCATCTTAAAGATGGTTCCAACAGCCTGCTGTTGGCAGGGTTGCCAGCCACTAGATCAGGCTGCTCAAGATCCCAACCA